GAGAGCGTCCCAGAATTAACCAGCCTCGAACGTATCCCTATCCCTAAAATTAACAAGCCAAAAGTCGACGACAATCTTAGGGATGCGCCCTTAGAAACGGAGGGAATCCCCAAGATCGGCATCGAGATGAGGCAATGCCAATCATAGGGATAGGGATATGTTCCAGGCTGGTGACGAATGCTGTGGAGCGGACTTATTCTCGTCCTAGCCCCGTCCGAATGAAGCTCAGGATTGAGCCAGCTTCTGCGGAATTGTACCATACAGCGGAGGCTAGTCTACAAGAGATCTTCCACAAGAAGACCAACCCTGAGACCCCAGGACGTCCATTGATTTTTGGTGTGGGGACGTCGCGCTTCACATAGCAGAACCATCGCAACACAAGAAATCCACGGCACCCTGGAGGCAAGCAGGGTGTTTCTCGGCATGGGTCTCCACTGTATTAGACCAGAATGGGCCAGGATACGCCAGACCAAACCGGCTTGGGCCAGTCTTCGACCGGGGAATTACCGGCGCCAAGTCTGCACTGCACCTCCCAGGAGCTCGCATCCTAAGTCCCAAGTGGTGGGTGGGAAAGGGAGCGAGATAAGGAGGCGTGGGGGAGGAGGAAGGAGGGAAGGTACGGCAAATTCGGGCCGTGGCGACTTGGGCATGCCGCTCAACCTTGAGCGATCGGCTGTTTCCCGATCCCACGGAGGGTTCGATACATCGCCCAGTTCTGGGCCACTGGCGGCGTTCGATCTTGAGTGCCCGCGCCGAGGTTTCCGCCGCGTCGATGCGGCTCCAGCCCGGCGCAAGGAAGAGGGTCGGGGCGGGGGGATGCTGGAGTGGGGGAGGGGTGAAGAGGAAGTGCTGCCCCGCGTGCAGGATGGGAGTGGCAGGATTTGGAGCCCCGAGACGGTACGGTGACGGATCGTACGGTGACCTCGAAATCCCCCAAGATCTCATCGTATGTTCCGTCACCGCACGGGTTGGGACCCTGGAGGCCCCTGTCGCCCGAGACATCCTCGGAGAGGGACTCGAGTCCCAAAACCGTGCGGTGACCCCGACTCCCCCTCGACTCACCACACGGTGTGGTCACCACACCGTTTGGGGCCCCCCGACAGGAGGAGGATGGATGGAGGGGGGACCGACATCCTGTCCCCCGAGGAGCGCTTTGCTTGTTCGCTTACGGAATTACCGCGCCCCGCAACGCGGGAATTAAGGAAGGCGGAAGCCCCTTGAATGACAACCTCAATGGAGCAGGAGCAGTGGAGGAAGGGCAGGGAGGGAGGAAGACGTGAGCGGGCGGAAGGAAGCGGGTCTTACGCACTGCGGCATGACGACTTCGCGCCGCAGCTTACGCGGGCCGCCACTGTGGCACACCGAATGGAAACGAAGGCGCTCACGCGCGACCTTCTGCGAGCTGCTTGCGCGCCAACGTTCCTGAAGATGATGCCAACTTGTTCTACGTCGCTCACCTGGATGTCCGCCCCCCTGATTCGAGAGGAGGGGAGAGGGGGGAGGGAGGGGACAGCGAGGAGATGCGAGGAGGGGAAGGGGGAGGGAGGAGGGGAGCTGTCACTCATCCCTTCGTCTCCTTCTCCCTCCTCCTCCTCCGCCTCCTCCTCCTCCTCCTCCTTCTCGCACTCCCTCCCCGCACATGAGGCCAGACCAAGTAAAAATTACACGCGGGCATCGCAAGTTGCCGCGCTGGACTTTTCAGCTCGCAAGCGTGGCACCAGTGACACGGTTGCGCGGTTGACAAAACCCAGACAGGGGAGGTCTGGCATGGATCTCCGTAGAAAATCTCTCTGCAGGACTCCCCAGGAACTAACGAGTGTGGTGCCAGTTGTGCATGTGGCAACACCCAAGAAGGGGAAGTCCAGCTTGACCCGCGCAAGAACCTGCCTTGATGGACCTCCAGGGAATTTCACGAAAGTGGCGACTCTTTGGCAAGTTGGCAACACTCAGGAAAGGGGGACGTCGGTCTGGATCCGTTTGCGACAGGGGCTCCGACCACCAGGTGAGCCCACGAAAGTGGCGCGTCTTGCGCAGTTTAGCGGCGCCAAGGGAGGGTCTCCGGTCGGGAACTCTTGCTCAGCGTGTCGCGGCGGCGGCCCCAGCGATACCGACACGCTATGCCCTGCGAGCGGACGGCGTATCGCTCCGCTCCGCCTGGCGGGAGGCTGGAGAGAGTTAGGGACGCTAACGTTTGGGAACGGAGAGCTGGCGGTGCGACACGCTAAGAGAAAGTTCCTGACTGCAGCCTATGCCCATTTAGGACAGCACCCGACTGACCTTCTAACGAGCTCACTAATGTCACAATGTCACGATTTGCGCCCGAGAGCACCCGGAGAGAGAGAGAGAGAGAGAGAGAGAGAGAGAGAGAGAGAGCGAGAGCGAGGGCGGGGAAGCGACAAGGCAGCGAAAAGGAGGAGGAAGAACAGGAGGAGGAGCAGAAGTGTTCTAAAAACGAATACCCCACGCTAGAGGGGGTTGGAAGCGATAACCATTATACTTCTGATCTTACCTCTTCGTTCCTCCTCCCTCCCTCTCCGAGGACGCCAACGGCGACAAGGACGCCGACGGCGAGGGCGACGACGGCGTCGCTTGTGACGACGACGGCCGCGGCGACGACGACGGCCACGACGACGGCCACGGCGACAACGACGACGACGGCGACGGTGACACGACCATGAGATCCGACGTTGCAACAAAAAACTGCAACATCGCAACAAATCACGACCAGAGCCCCAAGCCCCACAGTTCTGAGTCATTTTTCGAGCCGAATCGATCTGTGAGCCTCCTGGGGCCCGACATGGAGTGAACACGCCCGTTATGAGAATATTGCAACGCTCAGCGATCATCGGCGATGCACCGGCGATCATCGGCGATGTATCGGCGATTCATCGGCGATGCACCGTCGACGTCGGCGATGCATCGACGACGTCGACGTGCAGCAAATCGGGCGCCACGTCGAGCTGCATCGCCGATGCCTCGGCGATGCGGTGCGCTCCTCCGACCCCATCTACTCGGACCCCATCAAGGAGGCCCAAGAACGCCAGGATCTCAGGGGCCGACGATGCCCGCGGCGACGCGACGACGACCACGGCGGCGGCGACGCGACGACGGCAACGGCGGCGACGACGCCGCCGCTGCCCAGGCCGCCGAGGGCCCGCGCGCGGGGCCCGCGCGGGGGCGGGCCGTGCCTCCGGGCCCGCGCGGCCCCTGGGAATGAGGAGGCCGGCCTCTGGCACCCAGCCGGGGTCCCTGCAGGGTGGGGGCCTC